AAGCAGCCAATGATTTCTGAAAGCCACAGCCCTTCTTTTATGAAAAGGCGAGCCCCAGACATGAGACGATCGATCTCCCTTTACTCAAACAACAGCAGATAGCGAAAGGAATGTTGCCCTTCCCCACGCTAACCGAGCTTTGTTTTAGCCGCTTGGAACTCCATGTAATCATAGAATTGTTTTGGTTGGCAAATAACTTTAGAATCATCAAGTCCAACCGCTAGCCCAACTCTACTGAGTGCTAAACCATGTCCCTAAGCACCACATCTACATGTCTTTTAAATACCTCCAGGGACGGTGACTCCACCACTTCTCTGGGAAATCTGCTCCAGCACTTGACAACCTCTTCAGCGAAGAACTCGTTTTCATATATGCAATCTAAACCTCTCCTGTCCAACTTAAGGCTATTTCCTCTTGTCCTGTCATCTGTTACCTGGAAGAAGAGACCAACCTCCACCCTGCTACAACCTCCTTTCAAGTAGTTGTAGAGACCTATAAGGTCTCCCCTTGGCCTCCCTTCCTCCAGACTGAACAACCCCAGCTCCCTCAGCTGTTGCCCACAAGACTTGTGGCCTAGACCCTTTACCAGCTTCACTGCCCTTCTCTGGACTCACTACAACACCTCAGTAACCTTTTTGTAGTGGGGGGCACAAAACTTAACACAGTATTCAAGATGCAGTCTCACCAGTGCTGAGTACAGGGGGACAATCACTTCCCTAGTCCTGCTGGTCACACTATGTCTGATAGAAGCCAGAATGCTGTTGGCTGCCTTGGCCATCTTTCTTATAGGCCCCCTTTAAGCATTGAAAGGCCACAATAAGCTCTCCCCTGGAACATTCTCTTCTCTAGGCTGAACAACCCCAGCTCTCAGCCTTCCCTCATAAGCCAAGGTGTTCCATCCCTCTGATCGTTGTTGTGGCCTTCATATGAACTCATTCCAACAAGTCCATGTCTTTCTTGTGCTGAGTACTCCAGAGCTGGACACAGTACCCCAGGTTTGGTCTCACCAGAGCAGAGGAGAAGAATCATCTCCCTCAACCTGCTGGCCACGCTGCTTTTTATGCAGCCCAGGATACAGCTGGCCTTCTAGGCTGTAAGTACATGTTGCGAGGTATGTCCAGCTTTCTTTCACCAGTACCCCCAAAGTCCTTCTTTGCCAGTCCCTTCCCTGCTCTCAGTCTCATCCCCCAGCCTGTATTGACAATGCAGGTTGCAACAACTGATGTGCAGGATCTTGCACTTGGCCTTGTTGAATCTCATGAGGTTTAGATGGGCCCACTTCTCCAGGTCCCTCTGATGGCACACCATCCCTCAGGCGTGTCCACTGCACCACTCAGCTTGGTGTCATCTGGAAACTTGCTACAGGTGCACTCAATGCTGTTATGTCATTGATTAAGGTATTAAACAACACTGGCCCAAAGACAGACCACTAAGGGACACCACTTGTCACCAATACCCATCTGGACATTAAGCCATTGCCCCCTACCCTCTAAATGTGACTATCCAACTAACTCCTTATCGACCAAACAGTCCATCAAGTCTGTATCTCTCCAACTTAGAAAGAAACGTGTTGTCAGGGACCATGCCAAAGGCCATCCAGACAGATGACATCCATAGCTCTTCCCTTGTCCACTGATGTAGTCACTCCATCACAGAAGGCCACTAGGTTGATCAGGCAGGACTTGCGTCTGGTGAAGCCATGCTGGCTGTTTCAAGTCACCTCTCCTTGTACTCCACATGCTTTAGCATAGCTTGTAGGAGAATCTTCTCACACACAGAAGTGAGGCTGATAGGTTAGTAGTTCCAAGGTAGTAGTTCCTTCTACCCTTTTAAAAAAATGGGTGCAATGTTTCCCTTTTGCTAGAAACTAGGGACTTCACCTGACTGTCATGACTTTTCAAATATCCTCAAGAGTGGGTTGGCAACTACATCAGCCAATTTCCTTTAGGACTCTGGAATGCACCTTGTCAGGTCTTAAGACTTACATATGCTCAGGTTCCTTAGGTGGTCACAAACCTTATCTTCTCTTAAAATGGGAGGGACTTTGCCCATCCTTCCCCCATTCCCCATTTTGCAGTTCATCCATTCAAGAAGTGTGGGAAGAGAGGTTGCCACTGAAAAGGCGTGAGAGTTGTTGAGTACCTTAGGCTTCTCATCTGCTGTTACGAAGCTTGCTAGTCTTACTCATTGTGAGGGTACACTTTCTTTGATCTTCTTTTTCTGTTTCACATTCCTGTTGAAACCCTTCTTATTAATCTTTGTATCCCCTTCCAAGTTCAGCTCAAGCCATGCACTGTATTTCCTGACCCCCATCCACAGGCAGCATCCCTATAGTCTTCCCAGGATACCTGTCCTTGCTTCCACTGTCTGCATTTCCTTCTGCTGGTGAAACTGAAGGGTGAGGTCTCAACTCAGCCATGCTGGTCTCTTGCCTTCTCTGCCCGATTTTTACACCTGGGATCAAGAGCTATATGTGCTCTAAGGAAAGCATGCTTAAATTTCTGCCAGCTCTGTTCTGCTTCCTTGTCCCTGAGGGCAGTTTCCCAGAGGATCCTATTGACTAACTCCTTGAAGTGCTACAAGTTTGCTTTCCTAAAACACAGGGTCTTGACTTTACTCTTTGCCTGATCCATATCCCTAAGGACTGAACTCCACCAGTGTGCAATCACTGCAGCCCAGGCAGCCTCCAATCACCATGACACCAATTAGCTAATTCGCATTGGTGACCACCAGGTTCAGTATCACATCCTTGGGTAGGGCTGTTTGTTACCTGCCTTAAGAAGTTATCCTCAATGCACTCCAGGAGTCTCTTGCCATGCTACTTTTCCAGCAGCTGTCAGGTTGGCTGAAATCCCCTAGCACAACAAAAGTCTGTGAGCACACCACCTCCTGTCGTTGTAGCAAGAAGTTTTGGTCAATAGGCTCCCCTTGATTGGGTGGCAGACAGCAAACACAAGGTGCCCTTTGTTGCCTCTGTCTCTAGTTCTTACCCAAAAACTTTCAACCTGTTTGTGGCTATTCTTCAGAGACAGCTTTTCATATTCTATCCACTTCTTGATGTACAGGGCAATGTCTCTGCCCCTCCTTCCTCACCTGTCGCTTCTGAAGAGCCTGTAGCATTGATAGTCTCACTCCATTCACGAAATTCATCTCACCAAGTTTCAGTAATAGCAACCATGTTGTAGTTACCCAGCAGCATGGTGGCTTCCAACTCCTGTTTGTTGCCCATGTTGTTTGCGTTTGTGTAGAGGCACTTCAGCTGGGCTGTCGGCCATGTCACCTTCTTAGAGGAACACACCATTACTCCTTTGTGATATTTCACTGGTGTTTTCCTCTTGGCTCCTATTACTTCAGAAGTCTCTGACTCATCTCTGTAAGACTTCAAGTGTGCTGCCAGTGTAGCCAGCACATCTCAGAGAACAGGCTGAGGGCCCTCACTAGCAGCCTGGCCTTCTGCCAGGTGGCTCCACAACCCTGCCCACCCTGCACTTTGGTATGTCATCCTACAGCTTGTCATGGGTAAGCCTGGTATTATCTCTCTCCCTCTTCAAGCTTAGTTTAAAGCTCTGCCAATGAGCCCTGCAAGTCCCTGAGCAAAGACCCTCTTTCCTCTTTGAGAAAGGTAAATCTGACACCATCAAGCCTGGTGCTGTGTAGGCACTACCATTATCAAAAAAACCCAAAACTGTGGCATTGACACCAGCCATGGAGCCATGTCAGTGCTGCTAATACTCATGCTTATGTTCATAGCCCCTGTGTACACAAAAAGGTGGAAATTCACTTTGCATGCCTTCCTTCAGCTAGGATACAAGAGAGAAAAAATAGTAGTAATGCACTGGCTCAAAAATCCTGTAGACTTTTCCCATAAACTACTACACAACTGACCACAGTAGATAAATTCACACACTGGCAGAGCCTCACCTGCACCTGGCTCTCCCCAGGGGAAACCTCACCTTTACAGCAGGTTCCCCATTTGCCCCTGGTCACTTCTGCCACTGCCTGAACCCCAAGCTAACACCAGCATTTCCTCACCAAGCCACCTGGTTAAGAGCACCCTGTTCTGGAAGTTGCAAATACTCACTGCATGCCTGC